GGGGTGGTTGAAGTCCCCCGTGAGGACCAGGGCTTGTGAGCGTGAGGCTGCTCCTATCCGTCTATAGAGGGCCTCATCCGCTCTGTCTTCCTGGTCAGGTGGCCTGTAGCAGACCCCCACCGTAGTGTCACCTGTCCCTGCCTTCCCTTTAATCCTGACCCATAAGCTCTCATTCGGATCCTCATCCATCCCCAGGCAGAGCTCCATGCACTCCAGCTGGTCATTGACACAGAGGGCGACACCCCCTCCTCATCTCCCCTGCCTGTTCTTCCTAAAGAGCCTGTATCCCTCCATCCCAACACTCCAGTCGTAGGAGCCATCCCACCACGTCTCCGTGATGCCAATAAGGCCGTAGCCCTGCAGGCGTGCGCACGTCTCTAACTCCTCTTGTTTATTCCCCATGCTACGTGTGTTTGCATAGGGGCATTTAAGTTGAGTCCCTGATGAAGCTGTCTTACTGGCTGGAGTTCCCTTGTGCTGCTCTTCAGCAGCACAAATTAAGACATTAAACAACATTTTGGAACATCAGTCATCCTTGCAACTGGTTCAAGCTATACCAATAAAGCATAAGTAAGCATGAAGGTGTTTAGATGGCAAAATATCTATTTTTCCAGGAATTGTAGGGGTTGCATTAAAAAAAAGAACAACACTTTATAGACAGCAATAACCTCTCTTATTTACACAAACCGTAACTGTCTACCTGTAAGAAAAGGTAATGTTTACAATACTTACATTTTGTGCAGAAGTGACGATACTAATTTTACAAACCAAGAGCTCTGAGTATTCTGTAATAACTTATTTGAAGTGAGCTGAAATAAACTTTTCCTGAAAACAATCTGTGTTTGTGGTGTTTCTTTAATAAATAACTAGAAATGCAAGTCATTGTAAAGTATCAACTCCAAATTACTTTAAGAAGATTTTGAACACATTACCTCTAAATTCAGGTGTGAAAAGCAGAGTCTGCAGAAGGGAATTGAGGTAGCAGGTCCCACCCTGATTTTTGATACCACTTAGGTTGGTGAAATCCCTGGGAGCTGGAGGCTCAGAATCTCTGGGTTTGGATTTCTTCCCTTTTCCACAATGATTGTTTGAAATAAAGGAAAAATCCTCTTCAAATAAGTCCCCAAACATTGTGAAGGCAAAAGAGTCCTTAAAAGATACAAAATTATCTATTTACTATAAAAAATGCAATTGAATCCACTTGCCTCAAATCCTCCAAGATGAACCTTTCATCCCTGACCGATGAATTCCTTTATAACTTTTTTCATCTTATTCTGTTAATTCTAAAAATGAATGACAGACCCATATAAAAGTGTGCACTAATATAACAACAAAAAAAAAAGGGTGAATTAAAAGTATTTATGTTAGCACAGGTCTGAATAGACTTTTAACTAGAATCAAATACATCACATTTCAATTTCGCATCAGCAAAAACACGCATAGCAAAATAAACAGTTCCTTCTAAACACCTATAATTAACTAGTGCTCAAGTTGCCCAGTTTCCTGCAGGAAAGGTACACAAGGCCTCTCAAACTCATCAAAATCCCTGCACTATGTCTCAACAAATCCATGAGCACAAGTAACCCGTCTCTAGTATTGGCCAGTTCAGATGGGAAGAGTGTAATGAACAGTCAAAAATACAGTGATATTTTATGAAAATATTATCTTTGCTTCCAGATGTTTGAGCCAGTAACTCAATGACAACTAATTCTTCTTATGGTTATTTTTTCAGTTCTTTTTGGAAGCCTTGCGACCTCTTAGCATGTACCAGCATTCCCAAAGTTAGCTCCCTTTTGTTTTGTACTTGCCACCCCATAATTTCATTTGGTATGCTGTAGCTCTTGTATTAGCAGTGAGTAATCAGTGAGTTATACTGAAGCAGTGAATAATCATTCCCCTACCTATCTTCATTCCACTTGCGATTTTGCAGACCTTTATCATATTCCACTCAAACATCTCTTCCAGACAAAAGCCTCCAAAGACATATTCATTCCTACAACTGAACTTGTTCCCTATCTTTGATTATCCTTATCTACCTCCTCTGAACCCCTTAAACTTCTCCTTTCCCCACTTCTGAGATCAGAGGACCACATCTGCCTACAATGTTCAAGATGTGTGCAAACCACAGCTACATATATATTACTTATATATTTATAAATAATAATACTCTGGTTTGTTCTCTTTTTGTACAACTGCTGAGCACTAACTGTTTTAAGCAATGTTTATTATTAACCCAAGGTCTCAATCCTATATGTTCACTTCAAACCCCACCACTATATACACACTTTACATAAATATGTGTATATATACACATAACCGTAAGATTGTGATTGTCTCCGCCCCGTGCTGCATCTCTTTGCACTCACCTACAGTTAATATTACCTGCTATTGTATCACTCAGCCACCCATGAGCATGAAGACTTTAAAGCTCCACTGATGGCACTTGTCTTTATTGCAATAAAGTTGATTTCACAAGACAAATTAAGCACCTCAGCATTCACCTTTTTTTTTCAGTGAATAGTTTATGATATGCTGAACACAGGCCCTGACAAAGATATAAAGAAATTCCCCCTCACTCCCCTCTGTGACAGTTGACCTTCTATTTCCTATCTTTTAGCTAATTATTTAATCAAGCAACAACTTTCTTCTCCTGTGTCAGCTTAATTTCTTTAAGAGCCTTCAGTGGCAAACCTTATTGAACGCCTTTTGAAAATCCAAACGTAGTTCTTCAGGCATCTCCTAAAACTCTTTGCATAAAACAGCATTAAGTTAAGCCCATTTTAGTCCTTCCCACAGTAGAGCAGTTTTTAGGCAAAAGGCTATGCTCACAGCTATGAAGCAGAGTGGCAATGTTCACTCTGCTTGTTCTATAATGCTTCTTCAGCACTTCGTACAATACATATCCCCTTATAAACCCCCACAAAATAAAGTTATGTGGCTGGAGAGCCTTCTTTTCTTCTCTGAATGCAGCTCTTATACCTTGATCACCTAAAGAAACTCCAAAAACCTGTAAAGGTCTCACCTACCATGCTTCAAGATGTAATTCCTAGGTTTAGCTCTCTTTCCAAACTGTCTCGCAGCCTTCATTCATTTTCCCAGTTAGACTTGCTGCACTTCAGCATTTAACCACCCAAAGATTAGGACCCTTCCTATTTTCCTCATACCAAATACACAACAGATTGCTCCCAATAGGTTTGTTCATCATAAAAAGGCACACATCTAGGAGACAGCAATCATCTTACTGACAGTGTGCTGTACCGCCCACCACTCCAGAGAAGCACTTCAGCTGGACAGTGCCAAATCCTCCCTCGCTCCTTATTTCAGGATCCTCAAAGCACTGCTGTTAGCAGCTTCCTTCCCTTAAAAATCATACAGTAATATAGATCAAAACAAATCTCTGGATGATCCCTCTGGTCCAACGCCCTCACAAAGCAGGGCCAAGTTAGAGCACATTGCTTATTAGGGCCTTGCCCTGCCAACGTCGGAATAACTCCATGAAAGGAGATCCCAAAACCCCTCTAAGCCCCTGCTCCATGTTCCTTATCCCTGATGGGAACCTCTCATGTTGTAACTTGGGTCTGACACCTCTCATCCTACCCCAGTGCACCCCCTACAAGAATCAGGCTGCACCTATGCCCTCCCGCCAGCAGTACAGTCTCCACCTCGCCTTAGCTTCTTCAGGCTGAACTCACCCGCCTCCCCCTGCCTCTCTCCACCTCCCATATGCTCCAGCCCCGGAGCCCCCACGGGGCTGGGCCCGGTCTTCAAACACAGTCTCACCGGTACCGAAGAGAGGACGAAGACCCGTGCCCTGGGCCTGCCGGCCACACCCTGGCCAGCCCGCAGC